AGAGCAGAGCGGAGAGTAAGAAGCGAAACATCCGCAGGGTGACAGCCTCTGCCGGGGGTGGTGGCGCGCCTGGGAAAAGTTTGGCGCCCGCAGGTTGAGCTTTGGGTAGGGATGCTTAAACGCGTTGGCGCGGTGACCTGAGCGACAGGACGTTCCTTCTGAGGGCGTTCAGCAGCGTCTGAGCCACGGCCGGCTTAAGAGCGGAGCGTGTGTAGCGTGCGAGAGACCCGATGGTAAATCGCAAGCGTTTGGGATTTGCTCTCACGACGGTCGCAGGCGCGTTCTTTTCCACGGCAGCGTTCCCTGGTGGGACGCGCACGGCGGGTCGCTGCGGTGACCTGTGGCTTTCCAGTGGTCTCTTCTGCTGCATGAACCGTAGAGACGATCCTTGGTGGCCGGCCGCAGTGCTGAATGGTGGCGCATGGCTGTGCGGTAGATGCGGAGCTGCCACGCGTGGGCTCTCTTGGGCGTAGGGTCTCTTCCTACCTGAAGTCTCGTCCGGATAGAACTCGGCCGCTTTCCTGGGGCTTCACCAGCATAGAACTTTGGCCTAACTTCATGGATATAAAATTAAATGTTGCTTAGTGTTACTGCTTACCATCCCAAACTATTTGCGGAATAGTTTTAGTGAATTTAATACAAGTGAATCCCGAAGTTTAGTGGCCAGACCAAGATTAGAGAGGCAGAGTTTTTCCCTTGCAGGCCTTGATAACAACAGCCTTTAAAAAACTTCAGGTTAAAATTGTTGACGCGTGGTTTTTGGCTTTGAAAGGGCTTATTTCATAGATAACTGACTTTATAGGTAGTATATGTATTTGTGGGGGGTGGGATTTCTTTTTTTTTCTGTTTCTTTTGGGTATTAACAACCCCAAAAAGATGTGCTATTTCTCACACTACCTATTCCTCAGAAACAAGCTGTGAAGTAAGCCGATGTGAATCGGACTGTTTTTATCATTCTCTGCAAATTTGCACACAAGCATTCTTTTTCCTTATTGAAGCTGAGGCAAGATTCAGATTTCTTAAAAAGCATGTGCAAGATGCTTTTGTTAGCAGATAAAGGAGAGGTGGGACTTTAATATTGTTGTTTTGGTGCTTATTTCTGAGGAAGAAAATGTGTGATACGGGTGTATGATCTAAAGCTTTCTGCGAAGGTATTGGTGAGGAAATGATTGGGGGATCCTGAAGCTGACTCTAATATTGCAAGCTTTTATACATGTTAATGATGTTGCAGTAGTTACCCCTAAATCGGGAAGTCAGTTTGGTAGTGCTTAGGTCCTCTTCTATTTCTGCAACGCTGAGCATCTGTGGGGACAAGGATGGAGCATGAAATGCAAAACTCATTTGAGTTAAATTGTGCCTTGAACTTCTTGAAAACGTGTACTCTGTCCTCAGGAAGCAAACCAGCTAAAGTCACTTGAGATGAACTGGTACTGGAAGATTTGATGTATTTTATGGGAATAAATTCAAACAGAGATTTCCAGATCTCGCTGTTTTATTTAAAGGGCCATTTATGACTTTTACAAGTTGATGGTAAACCTCCTGTTGTACTGAATCAGAATTTAGTTTCACTCTTGGCTCTAAACAAGCAAAATGGTTGATAACGTGTTAGGAATGAATAGAAACGTTTTGTTCGTGGTTGGGTACAGAGAACAAATACGAGATTTCCTCACTTTCAGCACTGTTTGTATGTTCTGAGCAACACTAACCAAAACATGTGTAGACACATAAGCTGTGCGCTGTGATTATCTTTCAAATAAAGTTTATGTCCTGAAGGCGATCTTTGTATTTTTTTTTTCTGCAAATTACATGCTGGTTCTCTTGTGCTCCTTTTTTTGATGATGCTTTGCTCTGTGAGTTGTCCCACTGAAGTCAGTAAGAGCAGTAAAAGGCTGAGTTATGATTCAGCATCAGTATTTTGTGTCCTGCAGACGCAAACCTCTGCGCTGTGCTCTGGGACCCTTTGTGCCCCAAGCACTGGAAATCTTGGGGTGGTACGGGGCACAAGTATGGTCGCTGCTGCTGCAGTTTGGCTCAAAGCCCAAATCTGAACATACAAGAGTGTAGACGGGACCAAGGCTTCGGTGAGCAAATTCCCCGTGAACAAGCAGCTTGCAGGTCTCAGGGTTTTGTCATCTGAATCCAGCTCTTGGAGCTGCAGCTCACCTTGCAGCACAGAGATAGCCACTGAAAGCTGGAGGGGAAAAAGGGTTAAAGAGCCTTCCCTTTCACCTTACGCAAATATGCAAGAAATACTTGGACAAGAACGGTATGTCAAGGGTACAGTTGGGAAGAGGGACAGCTGTTTGCTTTATCCTCCCCCAAAGTACAATCTATTTAAATATTTACATGATCTCTTGCTAAAAGGCTTTCTTTTCTTTCCTATACTTTTCTGGTTTATTATTAAATTATCAATGGGGAGAGGGAGAGATTTGTAATTGCTAATTCTTCCGCTTTGTTCAAGTGTATCGTTTTATTTACTCGGAGAAATATGGTAGTAGTATTTTCTAACAAATTTAAATGGTTTCACTGAGGCTTGTGCTTTGCTGTTAAATATTATTGCTGATGCTTTTCATGTGCTTTATATATTTTATAATCTTAATAGGCTATCTGAACATACAGTAAAAATAGGAAACTTCAGACAATACAACCTTGAAGAGAAAGCAGTGGAAGACTAATGTGTAGATAATTTCAGAAGATTAATAATACAGATAATAGAATAAAGCACTTGTAAATGCAGGAATTATATATTCGGTCTTTTATAACCAGTTCTGCGTGGCCGCTAGGCCCTTCAGTGACTCACACACACCTGTTCCAGCCTTGGGCACGCCCTGTGCATCTGTTCTGCGTAGACTCTCCAACTAGGTCACTGCATCTAGAATTGTGTAACTATTCAACATCTTGGATTACAAAGGTCTTGCAGGGATGGGAAGAGTAAAACCAGAGCTCCTCAGGCTCCAGAGGAAAGACTTCAGCAAGTGGTTAGTATTACACCTAGGAAGTAATCTTTTTAAATTAGTAGATCACAGGAGACGGTACAGTTAAATGTGTCCGTAGTCTTTGTCGGACTGAGGCCTTGATCATTAATCACAGTTCAAAATTAAAGGTATTTTGCTTCAATGTAAAATACAGCTTTTATCCACCCTGAATGCATCCTTCATTACAGCAGAGTAATCAAAACTCCTTTTCCGAAATCAAAACACAATTCCAGTTAATATAACAACTAGATTAAAAAAATATTAGCATACCACTAACTCGTTTTGCACACGATGCAGACCTTCGAGACGCAATTTGAAAGCAAATTAGCATGAGAAAGAGTATTTAATTTGATAGTATTTCATGTTGTCTTTTCATAGTCTTAATTTTGTCAGACGTGCAACTGATGTACAAGAGCTGTTTGGTTTTGAAGAGTAGTATGTACGTGTCCTAGGCAGCCTTCAAAGAGTAAAGATTCACCCTGTTCTGTTGGAGCGACCGCCAGAACTCTGAGAGCCTGTGGCAAGGTTAGTACTTCATTCTCAAAAGTTTGCAGCCCTGTAATCGTTATTTTGGAAGTAATCCTTACTCTGTTCTAGAATTACCCATATAATCCCCTTGTCAAAGGCTGTGGCAAAAGTTGCAATTGAAAATTAAACAGAAAATGTATTTTAGTATATGTAGGCTCCGGTGCAGGAAAACCTTTAAGTGTGTGCCTGGTTTTAAGTGGCTATACCCGTGATGGCGTGAGCTGAATCTCAAATAGAGCTAGGCTGTAGTTAGTGTCCAGAACTCTCTTCAGTTTGGAGGAGACCCACAGTTTAATGTTGAAGGGACTTTGACAACTACAAATCCCAGGGAGCATTGCCATCGGCAGGTTTGTGCAACCGGATTGGCGTCCTGCAGGGACCAATGGCAAGCAGAATTCAAGAAAATTCATGTGTGTCAGCTGCCAGTATTAAAAAGCACCGGAGAGGGCTGTAGACCTGAGTGGAAATTGCCCCTTTCCCCGGGCTACTTTTAAACCCTTGCTTTGTATTGATATTACATTTTACACCCTCTGCGCCTCGGCTTGAGAAAGCCCGCTGGACTAGTCCAGATGGATGCAATTCTGAACTGCAGACCGGATGACTTGGAAGATTACTACAACTTGCTAGGGTGCGATGAGCTGTCTACGGTAAGAGCCTCCCCCGCCTCCCCTCCAGGTTAATAACATTTTGAATGTGCTTGTCTGTCTACAGCGGGGATTTGAAGTTGTTTATCTCTACAGGCAGGACTGTTTGAAATGCATTGTGGACCTTCTTTCTTGCCACTTTTAGTATCTCCCTTCGGAAAGCTCAATTTTCTGATCTGTATGCCGATGTTAAGATCCTAGAATAAGGCTTATATTAAAAGTGTCTTATAAAACAGGATTGTATTACAGATACAGCTGAAATAATGGTTTATTCATTAGTTCAACGTGTGATATGGTTATGAAGCATGAGCCAACTGCATAAATTTGACAACAACCAAATAGTATTTTGGAATATATTTTCGGTTTCAAAAAATGAAAAAAGCTATTTATATGCAGCTAATACAATGAATGTTCATAGCTGTAGGTCACTGATAATGCTATTGAGTTTCTCAGGTTTTATACATAGTTTTAAATTTTTTAAAAGACTGTATTCAACGCTTGGGAGGAAAAACAAAAATACTATCTCTTTTTTGTTCATCATATTAATGATCTTTAAACACTACTTTTAATGACATTCAAATACTATTTTACTAATTTGTTTTGGTAGCAGATACATACTTTATAATGAGATCTAGCTAAGCAGTTATTGAACGATTTGTAGCTAAGACAAGAGTTCTTCTTCCGAAAGGTGTCCACGTAGCATTTTTTGGATAGTCTGAGTTAGTGGTATGCTAATTTTTTTTAATCTAGTTGTTATATTAACTGGAATTGTGGTTTGATTTTGGAAAAGGAGTTTTGATTACTCTGCTGTAATGAAGGATGTATTCAGTGTGGATAAAAGCTGTATTTTGCTCAGTAAATTCAATCAGATGCTCTCATCTGTCCTAGTGGTTAAATGCTGGGAAAATGCCTCTGTCTTTTCTGTCGCTGCAAGCACACCAGTAAGCATCTTCGATCTGTTACAGACGCAATTTAAAGCTTTGTCTGAGGTAACTCCTAAAAAGTCATCCCGGCAGAGGGCGGTGTTAAAGTGTCGATGTAGGCTTGTTTCGCAGATGCTATTTCTCATTTTCTACCTCACGCTAATTCCTTAAGGGCTTAGCAATCAAAGAATAGTTCAAGTACCCACGATAGTGATTTTTCAAATTGCTTCAAAATGAAATTAAAAAGATGGAATAAATGCGTATGGGTCCTGAAAAGTAATCTGTTAAGTATTACTTGTCGAGAGAAGTGGCAGGTGTTACTGGATTATTTTTGACATGGGAGTAGGAACTGAGATCACAGGTTGACTGAATACCGTGATTGCCTTCCCTCAGGATGGTGCACGCTACTTCTAACACTTACCGGAAACCTGACGCGTTACAGGTGTTTTTGCAATCACATTGCTTTGTATGTGCAGTCAAGTATTTGTGGCAGCACGGGCTTCTTTAGGCATATATGGCGCATTCCCAGGCGCAGTGCTTTCATCTGAGCTGCTGAATAGTCTGGTCATGATCTGACCTGGTTAAATTTAAGCACAAGTAGTCGCAATTTCCACCGATTTTCCCTGTATTCAAGTGAACACCCATGTTCATTCTTGGCTTCTTGTAGAATTGAGCTCATGGACACCTAGTTCCTCTTCAGACTTAAGAGGAAGAGGGGAGATTTAATCTACATCCTTCTTCCAAGAACAGTGGTGTTCATACATAGTGGGTATTGGATACTTTTCTTGGTAAAACATCTCACTGAATCTTTTATATAAATTTCACATACTTTGTATAAACTTTCTATAAACTTTTCCTTCTACTGATTTTTTTTTCGTCTGAAGACTTCCACGCTACTCCTCTGCTACTGTACATATTTTAACTTTAAAGTTCCCTTTTATATAACTAAGTTTTAGAGATGGTAGTTAGCTATATAGTAACCAGTTTCAACAAGTTCTCTGTACAATGTATGAATTTTTAAGCATCTTACTGACTGGAAATACACCACCTTGTATCTGTCCCTCTGGAAGAAGTTACTGAGAAGAGCGGAAAGTGTAGAATACTTAAAATACCACTGTAGACCACATTTTCCCAGCATATGACAACAAAATTTGGCCAGCTGGTTGCATGAACTGCAATTTTATTACAAAGAAAAAATGTTATGAGCCTTTATTTTGAAATAAATAATGTAAATTGGCTATGGATATCAGGGTTTGAAGGATAAGGAATTTATATGAACAGCCTTTCTAGCATGGGAAAGAATAGTAGCTAATTGAGATCTTAGGGCAAATTGTTGTGAAAGCTTAAGCTGTACTGGAATGATATAAAGAAGTTTTGGCTTCTGAATTATAATAAGCAGCAAGATACTTTGAAAAAATCTGAACACTTGAAAATCTAAGCTGTTGCCCACTCCAGTGGTTTCCTGTATTTTGTTAACCATTAATATGTCTTTGTTTTCCCAGTGGTTGTAATACTTTATGGTACTGTAAACTGTGTGGGAACTCGTAATTAACTAATGAACTAATACATGCCAATATTCTAATATTGATTATAAATTTATTCTATTCCAAGCCAACGTTTTTGCACAGAAAATAAACTTGATAGGAAGACCGTGAACTGCTAGTTATCTAGCTTTGGGGTATCCAAGATGGAAAAGTCATGTGGTACTGGCTAAACTTCCTGTGAAGAGGATGTGGAGAAAGCCACCGGCTCCCACAAACTGATCTTCAGCAGCACAGAAGGTCTTTGCTTCCTGCAATGACACTTCATTAAAAGTTAGAGTTGATTAAAGAAAGCGAAGAGCAACTGAAGTGATGCATTTTGCTTACGTGGTCAGCTGTGAGGAAGGGGTTTCGCACACGTGATCTTTACATGTTTTTCTTAAAGCCAACTTGCTGTATTGGATGACTGAGCTTAACAAAACCAGCAATAACGATGAGTGCCGGGAAAATGAAATTAAATAAGCACTGTCACTGACAGATGGTTGTTGTTACCTATTTTGCTTGTACTAAAGCTTGTAAAAATGAATAGGAAAAAATCTTTCAGCAGTCTTTGTTGTTCCTTCCAACCCCTTTCAAAAAGCAACTTTGAAAATCTTTTCTGTGTGGATGTATTTACTCACTTTAAGTCTCAACATTCTGTTTAGGTTGAACAAATTCTTGCAGAATTTAAGGTTAAAGCCCTCGAATGTCATCCTGACAAACATCCTGGAAACCCCAAAGCAGGTATGTATTCTTCCCTGTTTAAAAACAATCTATTGTTTTCTTATATCAACAAGACGAAGATATTAAATTTATCCTTAAAACTTTATTAAATATTCTTTTCCCCCAATATATTTTGTCATGTGTATTGAGCATATTGTCTTTAAAGAGGAAGCTTTAATACTCTTTTCTACCACTTGCTCTATCCTAGGTGATAGAGCAGGAAGACACTTTTTGGATTTTTTTTTTTTTTTCCCCTAGGACTTTAATTTTTTTTTTTTCTTTCTATGGTAGAACATCTTCTAATCCAGAAATTATTTACAGAATGTATCCCTTTCTAGACCTACAAAGCTGGCCTGCTTCCATGCTCAGTGGCATTCAAGTGCCATACTTGCATCAACTAGTTAATATGCTTCCCTGAACAAGCCCATCAGGAACACATTTAATGTACTTTAGTTTCTTTTAATGTAATTTAATGACTGGAAATAAAGAGAACCCAGCAGCACATGAGTAGCCATCTGTTTGCAGAACGGCAGCTAACGTTGGTGTTTATGAAAGCGTGGAGTCCGTCGCAGCTGTGACGGCTAAGCAGCACCTGAGTTATTTGGAGACAGTCTTACCCATTCATAACCACACGATAGCTCTAATCGGTGCTCGCCGACGGCTGAATAGTTTATATTCTTATAGTAAAGGTTGTTCTGATCATAATTCTGGTCCCCACCAAAAATTTGTTGTAGAATAAGTAAATATGCTTCTCATTTTGATCAATGCACAAAACTTTTCCTTTGGATTCTTCTTGTTAGTTTAACTACAAACGGAACGACGTAAGCATAAGCTGAACACCAGAGCCTGCCTACTTGTGTGAGTTTGACCTCGCCCTCCCCCGAGATGGCGGAGCTGGGAGTATGGCAGATGTTAAATGAGACTCGCGCTCTGCTGCCTGGAGCAGAGCTGTCGGCAGGGCTTGGCTTCCCTTACTGATGTGCCACCCTAGCCGAGAATCAGGGAGCTGACAAGGGGGGGCGGGATTAGAAGGTGAAATGGGTGGGATTTTTCACTTTGAGATTCCCTGACAAGGAACCCCCGGAGATTTGGTGTTTGCGAGACAATCTACCACCTATTAACAATAACCTGATCACTGAGATTTAATTTATTCTAAGTGATAACACAAGTTCCAGTGAAACCAACGGAATCAACTTTGCAGAAAATTCTGGCTATTGCAGCAGGGAAACGAGACTATTCCAGTGCATGGTCCTGTTGTATCTGTACCACCCCCCAGTCCCGTCCCCCCCCAATTAATTGAAACGAAGTAACTCAAAAAGGGACGCCAAGTGCCAAATGTCAGAGCGGCTTTGTTAAGCAGAAGTATTTTATGCTCCGTTTACCCGAACATGCTAGATTTACTTGAAACACCTTTTTACAGTTCTGGTGAAAGACTACTTCATATTTTTTATTTCATCAGCTTAAAGCTCAATAAAGAGTAATTAAAGTAGACCTTTTAGTTGTTGAAAACCAGTAACACTAGAAAAAGGAAACCTAACAGATCTGCCCCCTCAACCTGTTGTGTGTCGCGTGACTTAGAGTTATCAATTTTGATTATTGTTTGGGCTTAGTGCATTTCAAAAGAAACCTCTCTCATTTGTAAACTGGAATAAATTAATAATAATAATAATAGAAGATCGCTGTAACATAGGTGACTCATAGATAAAATCTAAATCATTATAACCCTTCTACAAATAGTAACATGCAGCTGCATCCTTAGTAACCATTTAATGAAAAATTATCCTGTAGAGAAAAATAAGAGCTGTCATTCAGGCAGTCTGGTATTTAAGGTAACATTTTAGTTTATGTAGAAAACATACCTAATAAAATGCACGAGTTACTTAATTTGAACTATATGTAGATTCCTCTTCTTGCTTGTCAATTTTTGCTTTGTAATTTCCTCCCCGCCCTTGTTTTCTTGGTGTTGTGCTTTGCTCTGATTTCCTTGCTGCTGTGGATGTCAGTGTGTTCCTTCTAAGCATTATTACTCTAGTTTAATTTCCCTTTTTAAGGTTGTCTGCGGGGGGCGGCTTGTGCCTTTTGCCTGCTGTACTCTGTAAGTTTCTCTGAACTTAAATTTAGGAGATTTTGAAGCCGGTAGACAAATGAGCAATTTAGTCCTCATTTGAAAAGGATATCAGTTGTCCACCGAAGGTGCTATGATCCTAAAGCCAGCTAAAACTTTGCAAAGCTGTAAGCAGAACCACCACATACCGTTGTCACTCAGCTCTCCTTCTGTCTGCTCTCAGCCATTGTGGGCAACTCCCCTTTCACATCTGAATTAATTAATTTGGAAACAAATATTGGCTTTAGTGTCTTTTTGGTTTGCGTTCTAGTGGAGAATTTCCAGAAGCTGCAGCAAGCTAAGGAGGTTCTTACTAACGAAGAGAGTCGAGCGCGCTACGATTATTGGCGACGGAGCAAAATTACCATTCCCTTCCAGCAGTGGGAGGCCCTGAGCAATTCTGTGAAAACGGTTGGTGGTGTCGAAGTTTGGGGCCTTCAGGAGGAGGGGGGGATAGGGCTGGTCCAGAGAAGACGTTGCAGTGAGTGAGGGGATGCGTGACAACGCTTCTGCGGCAGTGGTGAGTTTTGGGGGTGGGAATAGTGCAGAGTCATTCCTGCACTAAGGAAGTTAAGGAAATTTAGGAACAATTGGAAGGCTACAGAAGCCCATTCACAGAGGGTTTTAGGCTAGTAGTTTTAGAGTGAGTTTATCAAGTTGCTGCTTTTATGTGTATTATATGATGTTTAAGTAACTTAAGGGCTGTTTTCAAATGCTTCAGCACACTTTGCTTTTGTAGGAACCTTTTATTTATTTTCAAAGCTAGGACCTTTATATAATATATTCTCCTTTTGGTATGTTGCTTATCAGACAGGTTTTCATGCTATGTGATTAAATAAAGAGCTCATTGAAAAATCTATATGGTAGGTTCCTTGGTACTCTGGGCTTCACAGAGGTATTTGGAGAGGCCCTGCTAGGCTAGTAGGGTGATTTGTGACAGACACAGATGTTCTGAAGGTTGTTTTCCTTCCTAATTTTGCTAGTGAGATAATTTGATAGCGTGTTCCTAGTAGATCCTAATTCCATAATGTTTGGTGTTTTTTTTTTTTTTTCCCCCTGCCTTATTAGGGTGAATGATAGTTACAAGTCTACATGGTCAGATTTTAAGGCAGGTGAATAAATGTTTCCCTTGCCAATTCTACCTGCCTCAATTCTGCTTATGAGAGAAGTCCGAGAGCCACTTCAACTAAAGCATTGTGCCTGAGCTTAAATGTTTGCTGAAGTATCCCATCAAGCTTAGTTCAGTTCCCAACAGAAGTCATTCCACAGGCTTTAATAGTAAAGCTTTCCAAAATGTCTTGTTTTCAAAGGGCACCTTGAAGTCAAAGACAACTTTGAAAATGGACATTTTCTAAGTCACTTAAGCCCTCTTAAAAAACTGTCAGAAGTCATGACTGAAGAAACTGGACAAAAGACCCTTAGAATTATTTGATGCGTTTGTACACTTTGTTCTTCATCCCCACGTGACATAAACTGTCCTCTCAAATGCGATTTGCAATATGGAACCCTATCCTGTTGACCTGCAAGCTTCTCTCTAGTATGTCCTTTGTTTAACTGCATATTACAACAATCTAAGAAAGAAAAGAGAAGTTCATTAAAAATCTTTTAAGGCATAGGAATTAGTTCTTTATTTGTTATTTTTGCATTTCTTTAGTCAATGCACTGGGCTGTCCAAAGTAAGAAGGACCAAATGCTGGAAGCTCCTGACTTGAATAATAGCAACAATGTAACTAATGAGATTTGGGCCCAACAGACTGAAAACAATGAAGATGGATTGTCAGATGGGACCAGGGAGCAAGAAGATGTTGCAATTCCTGATGTGAAACCACAGTCTTCAAAGAATCCAGACTCCCCAAGTAAGTGAAACCAGCAGTTACAGAAAATTGCAGTATCCAGGGACTGGCCTGAAACGGAGGCTTTTAGTCATGAGAAATTCTTCTCCAGAATCATATGTTTAACTGGTAGCTTTTTTAATGTGGTTTTGGGTTGGGGTTTTGCTTTGGGGTTTATGTTGTTTATTATTTATTTAATTTTGAAGCTTTCGGACCTTTCTTCCTCCCTACCCCGTGTTTGCTCACTTGTTTGCTAGTAAAACCAAAAACTGGAGAAGAAAAGAAAAATTCTTCTCAAACCAAAAGGGAAAGTTCAGTTTTGCTGCTGTATCAAAATAAAAACCAATTATTTTCAGTGATTTTGTTTTAAAAAAAACTTTAAAAAATGTTAAATAAAACATTTAGAGGACCAAAAATTGAGACTTGAAGGCTTCTTTGGTATTTGAACTTTTTTTTTTTTTTAAATAGTGCATGCACCAGAATAAATGTGTATTTCAAAAGCTGTCATCTGGCCAGTTAATATTTCCTGTCTGTTGTTTAGGTTAGTTCGCCTGAATCAAACTTTACTTACTACAGCGGCCACCCTCTGTTCTGCTTGATCCCTCAGAAGTTTCATAATCTTAGGCTTATGTTATCAGAGAACTATTATTAAACAAAATCCTGTAATTTCTTCCCAGCTTGATCAAACAGGAAATTAAGTTGAACTGTGAGGGTAGCAAAACCTAATTTAATCCCAAACATTTGTGGAATGCAGAAAATAGATAAGAAAATTCTACGAACAAATGTATGTGAGGCATAACTGAAAACTCTATATTTAAAAATTATGCTCTGTAGAATGATACTATTTGCTATTTTTTGGTAATTAAATCATCGCTGTATGCTTTGTGAAACAGTAAAATTTCACAGTAAAGAAAGCAACACCTTGTTCCTTGTGATCATAGAACCATAGAATGCTTTGGGTTGGAGAGGACCTTTAGAGCTCACCCAGCCCAGCCCCTGCAGCAAGCAGGGACAGCTTTAACCAGATCAGGGTGCTCAGAGCCCCGTCCAACCTGACCTGGGATGTTTCCAGGGATGGGGCCTCCACTGCCTCTCCGGGCAACCTGTGCCAGTGCCTCACCACCCTCATCATAAAAAATTTCTTCCTTCTATCTAGTCTAAGGTCTAACGGTGAGCTTTCTTTGCAGGCATTGTCTTTCTCACAATTTTTTTAAGTTTTAATTTAATTTCCGTAGATTTGAATGGGAAAAATATCAAACCGATCAAATGCCTACTTAATTTATCCAGTGGGCATATATTTATATTAATAAATGTTAATATTAGAATATATTTATTTGACAGGGCCTGTATGTACTTCAGTGTTCATACTTGATGTTAGGATGTTGATAATGCTTTTGTTTTGGTCCAGGAAAATTTATTATATTGGATTCCACTTTTAAACTGGGATATTTTCAGTTCCTGTCTGCTGGTCTGTAAGAATTATGGACTACAACTCTACGTAGCTATTTCAGCCTGAATAAGAGATTTTAACACTAAGTCTGGCAATAGGTTTCAGCTTCCTGATAGAGGCAGATCACATTTTAGTATTAACGGATCACAAAAACATAGCACGGGGTCTGAAAAACTTCTTTACTCCCTTGTATGTGGAAAGGGCCATTTGTACCTTCCCTCCACCCTGCTGCCTTTCATGTACTTGGAGATTTATCAGGTCACCCTCTCTCTCTTCTTCTTTAGATTAAGCAAATGCCATTTGTTCAGTTTTTCTTTGTAAGTCCTCTCTTCCAGACTGCCATCGTTCTTGCTGTTCTCCTTTGGACTCTTCCCAGCTGATGAATATCTTGAAGTTTGGTGTTTGCTTGAGTTCTTGGTCAAACGGTACCAAGAATACAGAGGTTGTCCCTGCTAGTCAAGAGCACTGGAAGCGACCAATTTTTTTACTTACTTTTCTGGGGGAAGATTATCAAGTATTATTTCAGACAACTTAGTTTTATACATGTTTATAATAATTTACTTGCCTTTCTCTTTTTTTTCCTCAGGATTTTCAGAGGCAAATTACTGGCACTTGCGTTTCCGCTGGTCAGGGGATGCTCCATCAGAGCTTCTGAGGAAATTCAGAAACTATGAGATCTGAAATGCAAAATGTGCAAGAGCATGAGATCATCTGTTCAACAAATCAGTATTTTTTTTTTGTCAGCAGTTATGAGTTATTTGTATTTTGTCTTTGTTCATTGTGATGTGAACGTTGTTTGAATAAATGTCTTAATACTGATAACACATGCTATGAGTATTATAGATGGTGGTCTTTTTGTTTAATAAGCAAACTTTAATAAGTATTCAGTATTAACATAAAGTGATTTTGTGAAGTTATCTAATATCTTATATATTGTTTCTTGTATTCTTAAATATTGCGTTGTGAATAATATTTTTCTCAATACTGTGATGTTATAAAGAACGTGCTCTCAGTAGAACCAAAAGTCAATGTTAGACTCCAGCATATCATCCTATTCAGCACCAATCTTCCAAAAGCTATATGACAATGAGCTTTAAACAAAACTGCTTATTTCTAAACTATGTACTCTGGTTCACTTCTCCATTGCATTGTACGTACTGTAGTGATTTAGAATGCTCACATGCACAATACTATTACAAACTTAACTTGTTGGAGAATTGTGATCTTACGGTATAGGTGAAATAAGAACCATCTTATTGTCCAAGAAGGTCACTGTGATGGATCACGCACTCTTAAAAATCACTTTCTGTTTTAACAAGTATAATTTTTGCACCAGCTATTTATTTTGGAAGGCAGTTCCAGAACTACTTCACTTCTCCACGTAGCAACTTCCTTCTTCTTAAGATTTATTGGTGGACAACTGATACCCATTGTATGTGTGCCAGCATTGTCCTGTGGCTTAACAGTAACTTCCCTCCCTACTCTGGCCTGGTAGACGGGGTCTTATCAGGGTTTTGTATGGTGAGGAATGAAGAATCAGGCCAGTCAGCATTAATGTGTACAAAATCTCACATGAAAGATTTTTGATATTTTGGGCAACTTTTCAAATTCTACATTGTGTTTATTTATTTTGTATTTGCTTTCTTCTTTGTAAACCTGGCTAATATGTCAGGTATTGACATTGTGGTTTTGTGCAGGCAAGTAATTCCATCAGCAACAAATAAAACTGTATGCATACAGAAGGGGGTTGTTTGCTTTTTTTAAAATTGAAATCTTCTACCCACCACAGAGATCCCTTTTGAATTTCTTGTTATTTGGCCCCTCAGTGGGTAAAAACTTAAGGGATTCCACTTAAGAATCTTGGGCATCTCTGTGGAAAGTCTAATCTGAAGCCCACAATCTTGTCCCAACGTGAAACAGTATTACGATGCCTGTCTCTCCCTGGAGTGACATGTTTGGCTCTACCGTGCAGGGCTATGATGTGCTGACTGACCTATTGTGCTTCTCCTGTTTGGTGCTCATTTGCTATAAATTGTAACACGACTGCCTCCCAATGGAACCCTGATGGTATGTATAGCTCATTAACCTCATTAGTGTATTTATTCTGGTGCCAGTTTCCTTTACAGGGGCTGATGCTAGTGTTAATGCTCGTTGTGTTTGTACCAGTTTATAAAAGCTCAAAGTACTGGTATTCTGCTGATACAGCTACATTGATCCCAGATTTGATGGCATTAGTAGCAATAGCTATTTTTACAGCACATCATGCTGCTTATCCAAAATCTTTTTTTAAATTATTCTACATGCTTTTCCCTTCCATATTTTGCAGCTGAAAACATTATAGAGATTAATAATTCTCTGTAATATCTGCTAAATGTAATTACAAATTTTCTTCTAGTGCATATATTGCTTTCCTTTATATAAAGGCATTTGCTCAAGAAAGACTTTCAATCCATTTCATAGGGAGGGACTGTAAAGAATGTCAAACAGTAGTAACAGAAGAAACTCTAGCTCATGCGAAGGATACAAAGTAATAGGGTACAATTTTTCTCACCTTAACAAGAAGATGAAAATGCAACCAGCTGGAGTACTTTGAATCAGGTGGCAGCTCAGACCCTCCTCTCCCCGTTTCACTTGCTCATAAAGGTAAAAGGGGGCAGCTGGATGGATGATTTAGCACCTAACCAGCTGCTTTCCCTTGAGAAGTGAGTATACAATAGACCTTTGAACAGCAAACTCATTTTTCGTGTCATCAAAACTGATGTCATTACGGGCCAATTATTACATGGTTTGCTTTGGCAAAGCATCTTTAGATATTTGTTCTGGATGAATAATTGCAGATATTTGGAAGACTCTTAGCCCAGCGAAAGCTGATGGTAAAACTGGCATTTTGCAACACACCTGCTAGGGATCAGCACTCTAATTTGTATTTGCCCTAGTGAAGGGGGCCTATTATTAACTGGTGCTCTAGTACACCGATACGGACTTTTCTATTTACGTATCTATTTAACTTGAAATGGTCCAATTTTCCGTATTTCTCAAATAGAGCTGAATGAACCTATTCCTAGCAGAGCAAACCCAGAGGTACTGGGAAGCAAGAGGAAGCTGTGCAGCCTGTTTTGCTTTTGGGACAGCATTGGTGGGACCTGACCTGTTAGCCAGTAAGAACAGTTAACTGGAATAAGTGGGCAGCCCAGTTCTCCCTCATGTTAGAAGGGAAAGAAATAAGCACCTGACTCTGTTAGATCATTCAGGGCCCACCCCCAAGCATAAACTGCTTATCTTTTTTTAAAAAATACTTAGTCTTTTTAGAATTTTTTTTGCTAGTAGCATGGAAAGATCCAGCAAATGCCCCACATGACAATCTCCACAATAAAGTGGTGCCTTGGCCTCTGCACTGGTAAGCACATAACATATTTAACATGCTTAAATATTAATTGGAGCAGGGGTTGTAAGGTGGATCTCTCAAGCTCTGCAAAGATGTGATTAAGAGGCAATGGAGTCAGGCATACGCGGTTTTTCAGTGGCCAACAGAGAACTTAACTTTCTTTGCAAAGTGGAAATGGCGCAAAAGGACAGTTGCAGGGGTGGGGAAGAGCAGCAACAAACCCGGATACTATATATTACAATTAGGGTCTGTGAATCTCAAGCTGGGGGAGAGGGCAGCTACCTGCAAGGGATGGAAAGGCCCCAGTGTCTTCTTTAGCACTTCCTCTGAGTTGTTTACGTAGGTGGCAAAGGGTCCTCAACCTCCTGGGTATCCGAAGGGTCTGACTCGGCGTGTGCTTCCACTACACAGCAATTGAGTGCTTTGTTAGCTACGGCCCTAAATGACTTAGCTTAGCGTGGTATGAAAATAAACAGACCTGTGAGGTGAGCCTAGCTCCTCTGGAGTCTGGTCAAAAGTATTGATGAAACCTGGCCACTGCTGGACTGTGAGGGCTGCTGAGATTTCAGCTGGAAGGTATGAGATAGCAGATGGGGTTGCAGGTGGATGATGATGATGATGATAAAATAGAGAGAACAGGGCACGTTGTTTAATGCTGTGTTCTAGGTCTCTGAACTGTGTCAACCAGTTTTGCAACATCAGAAATTAAGCAACTATTTAGCCAGCTGTTTACAATGAAACCAAACAGCTCTGGGGGTTTCTTGAATTACATAAAATCAATATATCTTTAATTACTGCTGTTATGGCTGTTCTTGTTCAAATGCTGAATATATAAGATTAAGAATGTTCTAGTTCTTCACAAACTTTATGTTTTGCCAGTATTTGCCAAGTTGTTCTGCCAACATTTCCTAAGGGGCAATGTAAGAGTTAAAGGTTTGATGATGAATACAGATAGTATATGACTTAAAATCTCAGGCTGAGTAACGCTGAATGATAGGTAAGGTTGTTTCCTGAGTGCTTGTTTTCCTC